TTATTATTATCATCATTATTATTAGGAAGGAAGGATTTTTGTTTATTTCAAACCACTGAATAATAGTTACCTGTTAAATTATTATATTTTTGCCGAGACTGTTTTGCCTTACATCTAACAATCCAACAGCTCTTAGTTTTCAGGCCCATTGTCAATAATGGTGTTTAGTTTTTCATGCATTTCTGGTACAAAAGAAATGAAAGGCGAAAAAGCAGCACACGTATTTTATAAACAATGCACTTTTTCTCAAGCACCCAGCTTGATTTCTTTAAAAGAAGGGCTGTGATGTGGTGTTTTTTAAAATTATTTTCTTGCCGAAGAGTCGAGTTATATTTTTTAATGCAATCTGAGACTATGTCACGATTAGTTGGAGATACATGAAGAAAAAGGAATTTCAATAATTGAGTTTAGATAGAATAACAGAAATGGAATGCGTTTTTAGTTACCTCCTCTGAGGAATATTTCCAGATGTTGCCACTCAAAGATTGTTCACGTCTTTGAAGGGCCCAGGCAGATAAGTACCTGAGTGCTATTTGGGTTCTCTAAGAAATATCCAATCGAAAAATTCCAATCTCTAAAATTTTAACTCAATACTCCATCTTCAGGAATGATTACATTCAAATGGAATAAGAAAAATTTAAACGATAAAGACTTTGTTGTGTTTGTTAGATTTGATTGACTGTTCTCATTTTTAATAAAATGTTCATCACTAAACGTATTCATCTATGACGCCACATGAAACCTGCAGACCTAAAGAAAAATTTTCAAAACATCAAGTGCACGGAGTCCTTACAAATAATAGATCTATGATTTTTCCAGTCAAAAGGAAAGAGCCTCACAAGAATTTTCCGAAAGCTCTTGACTACGTTGGGTGAAGAGATAATGAGTACAAAGCAAGCTCAGTGTTGTTGGATTCCGTTTAGTCGTCGGGGCTAGCTAGATTTTTTCTCCATATCAGACAGAAAAGCTACCATCGCGGCCCAAAGGGAACGAAACCGATGATGACCTTCTAAAACAAACGCGTGTCGAGCGATCGGTTCGAGGCTGATGTCTATTTGTAGTGTGTACTGAAGCCACCAGAAACCCAAAGAGCCAACCGAACTGACCCTCCAATGAGCACCGCCTAAAATGCGTTATGGACGAATCTTGAAGTTGAAGACAGGGAAGGTACACCAAGCCTGCTAATGGCAATGTCAGAAGCCGATATACATGTTGGAATACACGCAGTTGAAGGATTTTCGATCTTCATGGAAACTATGGTGACAGGTAGCTAATGATAAAAGTTTATTACGCGTAAATTTTGTTCGGATTCAGAAAAAACTGTAGTCAACGGCCATTTTCATCTAAACTTTTGAAGCTTGTTTGTGAAGATATATGCTGAACCCTAGGAGATTGCTGTGTCTTTTGACTGCCAGATATCAGCATTCGAGAAATTGTCTGTGAGTAGCTGTTGTATGCTTAAATGTCGCGTTATGGGTCCCATAGATGTGGGCTGAAAAAAAAAATCATATATCATTTGTGCGAGGCTATAAATCTCCATAAAGACAATGTTGTGCCTCATGAGGTGAATCCTACTGAAGTCGTACTGGACTCACTCACTCAACAATAAATAAATTATATTATTATCTGGCAGGTACTTCTGTACTCTCCACACAGTCCTAACTTTGTACCAAAACATTTTTACCCTTTCGGGCTTCTGTAGGGACAATTAACAAGAAAGTGGTTCTCAAAAGGATGGTGATTTTATCGCAGACACCAGATATTGACCCCTCAGTCCGACGTTGAGTCATTAGAAAAAGGCATTTTACTCGAATTTCCTCACTTGAATCGGTCCTATAGGAGATGGACGTTAAATTCAGAGGTCCCACCTCTTGAATAGTCTTCAAGTTTCAAGGTGCATTTAATCCTGTAAAATTTTTCACAATGAGATTCACCGCATTGTGCTATTCCAAAGATTGGACACGTTATTCTGTGATGAACCGCGGGACAGAACGCTTAGATCTTCATAGAAACTATGGTGACAAATAACAAAATTCATAAGAAAGTGAATTCAGGAGTCATTTTTACTTTTTTTTTGGGGGGGGGGGCAGCCCTCAGATGTTTACAATGGCTATATTAAGTTTACAGGTAACAGGTTGGGATGGCGGACAGTCTAGAGCCATACATATCTTGATGTTTTATTGATCAGAAATCTTATCTAGCTGAAATATCCAAAAAATGAAAGAAAATGTTTACTCAAGTTACTGTTTTATACCTGCAAAAAGCAATACTTCTAAAAATAAAAATCACTTTATTTTACATTCTGGTCAATATTTCCCAGTTCTGCTCCGCTTTCGGTTACTCCGAAAAAAACAAACAAATTAAAGTATATGAGATTCTCAATTTCAAAATTGATCACGGGATTACATTACTGCAATTGACTTTTGCCTTGTTTTGAAACCCTTCAACCTTTTTGATGGTCGTTGGTTTCATTTTTGTCATGTCAAGAAAATCGGAGTCGGTTTGGTGTCTAGATTAGGGACTTCGCCTCTAATGTAAAAGATCCGATTACTGAGGAGGGAGGGGGGG